TCACTATCGATCTCACTATCGATCTCACGTTTTCGGACACCACGGGACACCACGGGGCACCACATCGACTCAGTATCGATCTCAATATCGATATCAATATCGATCTCATTTTTTGGAACACCACGGGACACCTCGGGGCACCACATCGATCTCAGTGTCGATCTCAGTATCGATCTCAGTACCGATCTCACTCAACGGGACACCACGGGACACCACGGGACACCGGACACCACGGGACACCACGGGGCACCACGGGACACCGCGGGACACCGCGAGGGCCACCGCCGGACGGACGGACGGGGGATAATCATTTGTCTTGACTTCGCCCTAACAACGGCGGACACCACGGGACACCAAGGGACACCGTTAGGGCCACCGCCGGACGGACGGACGGGGGATAATCATTTGTCTTGACTTCGCCCTAGCAACGGCGGACACCACGGGACACCACGGGACACCGCTAGGGTTACCGCCGGACGGACGGACGGGGGAGAATCATTTGTCTTGACTTCGTTCGCCCTAGCAACGGCGGGTTCAGTCCTCTCGCGCGCCCACGCAGCTTCGCCTCGCCGTTTAACTGCGATTTCACCCCCCAACCTTTGATATTCAAACGCACCTCTCCGAGGGAACAATGCCTAGAGGCGATTCATCGGAGCCGTCCCGTTCGCGATTTTGTTTCGCAGTTTCGCTCGGCACATCCCTGGCATACGGGAATCTGGACACACCCTTCACGCAGATCGCGACGTCACGGTCCAACTCTACAAAGGTTGTTGCTCAAGCAACGTCGTCACAATCACAAAAGTGTTGAATGTGTTTCGACGTCGCTGTTGAAAAGCAATAGCTTCTGGTGATACATTCTCCTGACACATGAAGCCCGACGCATTCAAAGCTGTATCCATAATCTTCGAGACGACAGTTTCGCTCGAGACATCCTGCAATGAATTGCTTCGGAGTCTCTTTTCAACAGCAATCGCAAGGTGTGGAACACTCTCCTGCGCCACACACATCGCGACTTGTGGCAACCCCACCTGCGTTCGACTGCGATCCCGCTGCTGCGCCTTCTTTCCAACAAACCCCTGGTGATCCTCATTTTCACCCTCTCTCCGTTTTCCGCTGCTTCTCCATCTCTGTCCGCATCGCCCTCTGATCCGACATCGTGCTCCTCTTCTGGCCAAGCTGCGGCGACGCTCATGCGCTGCAATTCTGTTTTTTTTCGGCCTGGGCAAGCATGGGCCACTCGTATATGTATAGATCGCTCATACCTGTCGCGCACCCAGGCGCGTCGGTTGGGCGGATCCGTCGTCTCGCCTCAGACTTTCTCATCATTTATGCGCCTGGAGCTTGAGCTTCGCAGCAGTAGCAAGGATGGAACACAGGCAACCTTTATCATGTAACGCTTGCCTTAGCGCCGCCATTTACGAAATGGGTATGTCGCCTTGTATTCGGCTGAAGCTTTTCTACACATGCGGAACAGAAGTCGTTTTCAACATGGGGCTCTCGTAGTAGCGCCGCAGACATTCGCTTTTTAACAGACTTGCAACAGTTACACGCGTGGAGGGCGGTCCATGTTTTAAACTGAGCGCCTACGCGCCACGCCTCCTCGCCATACACATCTGCAACACGTGCAACGGTGGAGAGCGGCTCTCTTTCCGAATGAGGCTCTCGACTCAGACCGCCGTCAGCCGAAAAGGCCAGAAGTTTCAACCGATGTAGCAGCTGCACGGATGAAGGGCGCTCCTTTTCAAAAAAAGCGGGTGCTGGCGTCAGACTTCCTGTAAGTGCATGGCCAGGCGTGCAAACTTATGCAGCACTTGCACGGACGTGGCGGTTCTTCAAAACGGGGATCATACTGGATACATGCTAAACCGCATGATCGTGCAATATCACTTTCCGTGCTACGGGGTGTAACCACGCACCATAATTGCTGTTTCAAACCTAGACTGTCGCCTGACAGTGGGAAGGCAGACGTTGAGGGACTTATGTTAGGGAACGTGGGACGTGTGGGTGTACTGCAGCATCGGGTCCTTCCCCTCCTCTTCCAGCTCTTCTTGCTCCAATTGTTTCCCCATGTTTGTCCACAACGCCTGGGAGGAACGCAAAGTCAAAAAGCTTGGTCAGACTGTGGTCCAATGTTTGACCACGCATGTGCTTCCAACGGCACCAAGCGGTGGTTCGCCGTAAGCGTCTTCGCTAATCCGCCACAGTGCCAACACCAAACTGGCGCGTCCTAGAAGGCCTTCAAATTGTCTGATACTGTGTACATGCCGAATTTCGCATGGGCGCCCCCGCTTGTGGCATGCCCACTCTTACACTACACACACACATCCATGCGCAACTCTTCAAAGCCTCCGTGCAAACCCAATACCGACAGACTCTGGAACCTCCCTCGCTGCAATCTGCATCCATAACGGGCCCAAGGTGGTTAAACTGACCAACCCTCGGGAAATCTCGAGGAGAAGGCCGCCCCTAAAAAGCCTCTACGGGGACCACCCTACAAATACAAGGCGCCCGCGAGAACTCCAAGGAAACATGCAAAATTCTTACAATGATAAGGCTGGGCTGGATTCACAATATCTCACTATTGGCCCCAGCATGAGAACACGGAGCCTTCTCGGGAGAAAACGGTAGAACCATCACGCCAAAGACGTGCCAATAGAGTTCTGAAGGCCTGCGGAGGGCCGTCGAGCTATAATTCAACCGAGCCTCTTCGGGAGAACTCGGTAGGACCATCCTGCAGACCTGTTGATGATGTGCCAGCGCAGTGGTCGGGTTCGCTGCGGGCAGCTAAATATTGTTTGACCGCATGGCGGGGATTAGATGTGACTGAAAAACAAACGAACAAATACTTATGACTGAAATCTCCCAGAAACCGGGATCATCTTTTCGTGTGTGTTTCTGCGCTCGAAAAGATCTCCCCATCGTCGTTCACATTGCACATTGCATTTCGGATGCAACTACTGGGGACTTAGGTGGAGCTCCCCATGGGGCCACGAAAAGTGAGGGGTGTGCCGAATCGGTGGGCACGCCATGTGACTGCATCCACTTGGGCCTTCGATGGAGTTCCCGTGGGGCCACGGCGCATGTTGGGGTGTGCCGAATCGGGGGAGGGCACGCAATGTGAACGCAACCACTGGGGCCTTCGGTGGAGCTCCCCATGGGGCCACGACGCGTGCGACGGGGGTACCGAATTGGGGGCGGGTGCGCCATGTGAACGCAGCAACTGGTGCCTTCGGTGGAGCTCGCGATGGGACCAAGAAACGAGTGAGGGGTGCCGAATCGGCGGGTGTGCCATGTGAACGCTGCCTTTGGGACCTTCGGTGGAGCGCCCTTTGGGGCCACGAAACGTGTGAGGGGCGTGGCGATATGCGACTACTGGTAGTGATGATGGTCAGGATGATGAGAATGAGGATGACGACGATGACGAAGACGATTAAGATGACGACGATGACGATGCTGATGAAGATGATGACCATGAAGACACGGGGAGGGCATGTGCGGAAATGGAGCGAACGAGGAGGGGCGGGAGGAGGAGTGAGTGAAAAGGCGCGCTGCGTATTCAAAACGAGGACCCAACAACGCAAGGTGGTTGGGACACAACGAGTTGTCCGGGCTCCTGAGGCCAGCTCAAAACATGCATCTGCGCTCCCGAGACCACAACTCCTCACACAAAACGATTCATCCGTACTCTCGGCGCCACAATCCCCCGAAAAAGCTAATGGGTCCGCACTCCTGAGGCCACGGTCCCTCGAATACAGCAAGAGATCCGCGCTCCCGAGTTTCCAAGATGGCCGGGGCAGGACACCAGGCCAAGATGGTCCACTCTGCCACCAATGCGGCTCAATATAGCTCCCCGGCGACCCAATCTTTCTCAGAGGCGATTCAAGAAAGCCCCAAGATCCCACGAGGGCTCCAATAGGACCTCCCGAGAGGGCCCGAATCTGCCCCAATCGTGCGTGCATGCATGAACATGTGTGCATGAAGAAACATCTGCATATTTATGAAATGATGTATGATGGATGCGTACGCACATATATATATATATATACATGTGCATGTGTAACAATCTTTACTAATGTACACATGTACATTGTCACTTGGGTTTCGCATACTTGTGCTGTCCTCACCCGGGCTTCCGTGAGCTCAAGACGTTCCAAGGGGCATCCTCGATGGCCCCAAGACGGGCCGAGAAGATCCCACGAGGGCCCAAAGAACACCTAAGAGGCTTTCAACACGGGCCCACGATAACCCAGGAGACTCCTAAGACCGACTCCGAAGGCGCCAGACGACCAAAGCGCGCCCTAAGGCGGCACTTTGAGCTCCCACGAGGCCCCGAGACACCCCCAAAACGCTCAAGGAGCCCCCAAGAGATCCCCAAAGGGCCTCCAGCCAACTCCCAATAGGCCCGCGGAAGGCCCCAACAAGCCCCTTTGCCTTGCGACATCCTGCCGCGGCAGGAAGGACAGGAAGCGGACCCCCGACACGACATGGAATAATGTGCCACATGTTGCGGCTCTACCAAGCCTCTGGACCCGAGGTGACACACCTTACGGCCTACTGTGCGCCCCCCAAGGTGCAAGGCTGGCACGGTGGCGGGACTTACCGCAAGCAACTGGGTACGAATCCCGTTTTTTTTGGTGTTTCGTTTGTTTGTTTCTCATATTAAACAAATCTCATCCCATCTCTGTACAGGAGCTACACGCGTTAGGCACACCTCCAGCCTGTACAGTGAGTCCTTCCCGCGCAGACGGGAGCAAACTAGAAGGATGCACAGACGTCACCTCGGATGTAGTACCCTCCGCACGCGATCACTTGGCGGGCTCTCGTTCGTGCAGGCAGGAGAATCGATGGGGCGTTGGAGACGCAATTGACACTACTGACCACAAACATGTCCACAGAGCGTCCAGCACACCGCACGCAAGTTAAACATTGAAGCCCCCTCTCAACTTTGCTTGCATGAGTGCGCGCCCCTGACCATGGCAACATGTTTCTGCAAGCGCAGCCTGCTAAAGTGTGCCTGACGCCCTCGGAGGTGCTCAGCCAGCTGTCAAAGGGGTGTCATCTGCCTTCACCGACACAGGCGCGGATCCCGAATGGTGCACCGCCCAACGCACGCTGTGTAACACTGTGAGCATAACCAGCAACGACAAGCAAGACAAGCTATACGCGTCGCTGCGAGGCAGCGACTGTACTGGCATGCTACAGGCACCGCCGAAGTTGCAAACAGACGCGTGGATGTTCGCTGTCAGTGCTAGCATTCTCCTCCCACTCCTCCTGGCAAGCCTTCTTGGGTATCCATTTGCAACTTCATGTCATCGCCGCCGCATCGCATGTGCAACCTTTGCTCATTCCTTCTGCTTCTCCTCCTCCGAATCCGCCACGTCTGGGCACCACTTTCCCAAGGCGTTTACAGGCATCCAGCCGAATGAGTTCTGTGTGTGTGAAACTAATGCCTGTAGAGTTGTACTTTGTAATGATGGTTGATGAAGAGCCGCCGTGATGACATTTTACATGGCACGGTTGTTTTAACATTGCTTGGATTGCCAACATGCTACATGGTCCCTGGTCCTTCCATGACGTGCATCCCCCTCCCCATCCTGGCGACCTTTGGAAGTCTCGGGGGAGGTGTCAGCTCGACAGCTGTGTTGTATTGCTCGTGCTTTAGGCCAACGGACGAGGTCCTGTGCACCTTGCGTGCAGTCTGTGGAAAGCGCAGACGTACCCCTCCCCCCCCACGGCGGCGGCGGCGGCGGAGACGGGGGTGGTGACGGCGGAGGCGACCACAGGGCCCAAGAGTTCCCCACGCCGTCCACGGCGGCAATGCAACCGAAATCCAACCGACCCAACAACGAGACCGAAACCGACCGAAACCAAGAGGCCGCAGACAGAATTGGAGGGCGCAGCGAGGCAACAATACGAGAACCAACCGAACCGAACCGACCGCACGCCACCGTCTGCGACGCAGCCGAACCGACCGAACCGCGGACACCGTTGCATACCCTTTTGGATGCACATCGTCAGTGGTCCGCTCGGCCCAGAAGAGCCCCGCAGTGGACGACACGACAGCCCGATGCTGGCACAAGGCTGCCTCGGCGTGCTCTCACCGTCTTGCTCAACTGGCTTAAACTGGCCCCCAGACGCCTCCGTAGGAATCCAAAGGAATACCATAGCAAACATGAGCCATATTTGTTTGGTCGCAACGGTGGCGAACGCGCACCACGTCCGTAGTCTAGCCTCACACTAACATACGTGAACATACACTTACGCTTTCGGAGGTCCGCGCATTCTTGGGGAATCTGCGATGGCCCGCCATGGCGGCGCCCCTGGCGCCGCCCCTGCTCCGATCCGCGCCTGCGCGCGGACCTCAGAAGGTTTATGACCGCGCACGTTTCTCTAGATCAAGACCAGCTGCGGCGCTGGAGGCGGCGACGATGGCGGTGGCGGCGATGGCGTCGGCCGATGCGCGGCGGCGGCGGAGCTGGCGGCGGCGGCGACGGCGGCGGCCGAGCGGAGCCGCGGTCCCGAACCCGCCGCCGCCGGCGCGGAGGGCGCCGGGCGGGCGGCCGCCGCCGGCCGCGCCGCCTGGAGAGGTCGCCACCGCCGTCGCCATCGTCACCATAGTCGCTGCCGCCCTCTCCGCCCTCTCCGCCCTCGCCGTCGCCGTCGACGTCGCCATCGCCATCGCAGTCGCCACCGCCCTCGCTGCCCTCGCCGTGACTGTCGTCGTCCGTCGTCGTCGTCATCGTCGTCGTCATCGTCGCCGTCGTCGCCTTAGTCGAAGGGATGGGGTGATGGAGGGAGGAAAGGGGCGGATAACGCAAGAAGGGGTGGGCGTCGGGTGGCTGTGCATCCCTTCTTTCCGCTAAACTTGTCAAGTTCGATCGCACCATGAGGGCCCCAGGGCCTGAAGCGTGGCGAAAGCGCTCGTCGTGTCTTTCCGACGCCAATATGTCACGGGAGGGGGAAAGGGAAGGGGACGAGCGGAAAGATCGCATTCACCTCTTAAGTGCCCTTCTCATTCCACCACCTTTTCCTCTCCCCCTCATTCCCCCGCTCCCCCTCCTTCCCCCCTCCCTCCCCCCTTCTTCTTCTGTTCTCTCTCCCCCCAGTCTTCCCCCTTTCTCCCTGTCCTCAGTGTCCTCCCTCTCCTCCCCCTTCGACGACCTCTGGGACGACGGCGACCGAGGGCGACGACGGATGCACCCAGGAGGGTGGACTGGTGGAGCCGAGAGACCATGGTCCAGTAGGAATGGGGATAGGTTAGACGATGCTGATTCACGGTTCACGGGAGGACAAACAAGAACATGCTGCATCCCCTAGCCTACAACGTCGTGCTCGTTTCTCGCAGAAAGAAGCCTGGACCTTTTCCCCGGGACCGGTTCTTCATCCCGCATCTGTTTGACAGTCCAGGAGCTGCTGCTCATTCCTCCGTTCCTCTGATTCCCTTCGATGTGAGGGGGGAGGTGGGGGGGCAACGCAAAGGGGGGACCAGCGCAAGGGGGGAGATACCGAGCTCAAATCAGCGGTGCACCGCCGAGAACCCAGCGAGAGGCCCCCGATAGCCACACCGCACGCTCTTGGGCGGGTTGGGCCACCGGGCCCCTCTCGGCCATGAGTGGGCGATGGAGGCTCGACGCGCTGTCCCCCCCTCTGACGCCACCCCTGGGGAGGGTGCGGCCGCCTCGGCCTCCGCCACCTCCCGCGGCACGCAGGCCCAGCAGGCGGGGGCGCCCTCCTGGCCGACGCGGGCCGCGGCGGACGCTCCGGAGGGCCCCTGCGAGGGCCGCTCGGAGGGCCCCACCGGAGGCCTTCCTTCTGCGGAGGGCCCCCTCGGAGTCCTCGAGCGTTTCCGCGCGTTTCGAAGGCTGCTGAAGGCTCTGCCTCGGGGTGCTCTCCAGCAGCAGCGCCTCGCCGAGAGCGTTCCCGTGGTGCTCGGATCGTCCTGACAGGCAGCCAGAGGCCCGAGTCATGACATGCACGCCAGACCTTCTCGCATGCGAGTAATTCTCGACGTCGTGTTTTTGCCCATCTTCGACTTCTGGGGGCCCTCGCTAGGGCCCATGGGATGAAGAGCTGGCCCGACTTGGGTCCACGCTCTGAAAACATCACGACGGGCACTGCGGGTTAGTGTCGCGTCTACTCGGGCATTTGCCTCTGGCACACTGTGGATAACTCAACTTTGAACGATCGGTGCGTTCCGATAGCGCAGATCCTTCGCGATCGCGGCGTTCAAACTTGAACGCCGAAATCGGCGATCGTTCCGATCCTGGCGGCGTTCAAACTTGAACGCCCGCGCTGGGGTAGCCGCCGCGTCAACACGACACGGACCTACCGACCGTAGATCACCGAGGGGGCTCAAACAGGAGTGTCTGGGAAGACCAAGCCTAAGGGGGACCTGCCAACGTGACGCATGCCGCCAGCGATACGAATTCTTCCTCGGGGTGGAGGTGGAGCTCATGTTCACTGCCTGGCAACGTGTGCTCCCTCCCCAAACAAATGGCAGCTGGTCCGTATGAGCGAACGCACACATTCAAGTACTGACACATTGATGTTCATTCTCAATCGCAAATCCAGAAGACAACAATGCTGTCAACATGCGCATGTGCATGACCACGAGTCTCACAATCAAGGCAACAATCCGTTGTGCGGCAACGGCGTATCCATTACTGATGCTACTTCACACGTTAAGGCGATGATGCGACTCGGTCAACTCCTTGCCGTCATTCACGTCGACGAGGCCGTGTGCCTTTGTTAGTTCTACCAATCGCCAATTGGCAATCAACGGAGAGATCCAATAGCAATCTAAACCGATGACGTGTGAGGCTCGTGTTTTTTCTCGCTTAGTTCGCCCCCACATGCAAACACAACATTGTTTCAACACTCGACTGAGAAAATCACGGAAACACTGACAACACTTACCAACAACAATTCTCGAAGTCGGGCCAACGCACATCACAATCCGTAGCACCCTGTGTGTTCAATGCAACAAAACGCCAATAAGACATGCAACGCTGGCTCGCTCCTTTTACCATCAAATTTGAATTATGAAGCACAAGCGCTCCCTGACGTCCCCTATTAGTTTACTGGCCCAGATCCGTCATTGCATCAGCGGTGCAGCATGGAGATGCGTCAGGGCGTTCAAGCAACTTAGGCGACCATTGCATCTGCTTGCAGTGAGCACTCGAGCAACTAGGAGGGATGGCGATCCTGATTCCTCCCTTGCACATATGCACCCCAAGTGTCTGCTATCTTGCACCCATATGCCATGGCCACGAACTGAGCTCCTACTCTACATAACTAGCTTGTGTCATTGTTGCATAAATGTGACCTTGCTGCCCTAAACAACGACACACACACACAAACACAACCACACACACAAACACACCCACACCCACACCCACACCCACACCCACACCCACACCCACACCCACACCCACACCCACACACCCGCACCCGCACCCACACCCACACTCACACACACACACACACACACACTTCGCGCATGTGTTGCATCTGCCCTGATTCGGACACACACGGACTTTATGGCACCCCCTTATCAACCAACGCACAGTGCGCGACATATGAATCACCACACACGGTACAAACAAAAACACAAGGAACATCATCAGGACTATGGATCCGGAAGAGCCTCGTCAGCGCACTCGCAAGACTCCTCGTGGCGCCACAACCAAGACAGCACATACTAGGGCACCATGCTACAACAAATATCCAGGGCCAAACAAAGAACGTGATCTACGCATCCATTCAAACACGAGCATGCTTTTTTCAATTAGAGCAGCACGGACGATGGACACATCCACCAGCATAATAACCAGCTTGCCACGATACAGTCAATACTATCGCCTGGGGACTACCAAACTTCGCCATGCAAGCGATGCGGCAAACGCACCACCAGTCCTGCAAGCAGCTTGGCGGATTCGTCGGGCAGAAGACCTGCCCTCATTCTGTACAAGTTTGCCCTGCTCCTCTCACGCTTGCATGTCCGCACGCACCTCCAGTCAGGATCTACAGCCCGCATCGAGTGCAACACCAGAGAACCATGAGTGGTGCTTCGCACGCGCGATCCACTACGTATGCACCGACGGAGTCCCATTTCAACAGCGCGCACGCGATTTCCCCGTCCTGGGTGTTGGAAGAGAGTCATCGAGTCGTCAAACGTCGACTCGTCGAAGCGTCGAGTCAACAAGCCGTCAAAGCCGTCGCCGACCGAGCCGTCGCCGACCGAGCCGTCGCCGACGGCCGCCGTCGCCCTCCCCGAAGGGAGGGGGGGGGGGGACCGCAGCGCGGCCGTCCCACGTGGGGCCGACGGCCTCGGGGGTGGGGGGAGGGGGGCGGGCCCTCTGCGCTGCGGCCCTGGGGAGGCCTGGGGGCTGCTCCAGGAGCCGCGGTGAGAGGGGGAGGGGGGAGACTGGGAAGGGAGAGGGATGAGGAAGGTTGGAAGGTTGGAAGGGATGGGGGCGAGGGGATGAGGGTGGAAATGAGGGCGGGGAGGGATGAGGGGGGAAGGGACGAGGGGTATGAAGGGGGAAGGGATGGGGGATGAGGGTGGAAGGGGTGAGGGAGGATGAGGGTGGCAGGGGCGCGGGGAAAGAAACCACAATGTAAACAAACGTAAACTTTAGGAGCCCGGCGTCGCCTCTGGCACCGCCCCTGGCGCGCTCCGCGCGCTAAGGAGGGGAGTTCAACGCCGATCAAAAATATGCGCGGAGTATCATCAATTCATGCGTATACAGTTTTGTTCGTCGAAATGAAGGAAAAATCAATATTGAAGGAAGACTGTGAGGAGGAAGAGGCTCAGGAGGAGGAGGAGGAGGGGAAGGGGAAGGATTGGATTGCGTGCTGGCCAGTCCTACTGCCAGCGAAGAGTAAGAGCTCCAGCTTGAGTCCATACTTTAATATAAGAAATGCCGTCCCGTTCGTCTTTAGACGATGCTCAAGGGTGCAGCGTCTTGCTGCAAGTACTCCCTCTTCTATATTTTTACAATCAGGGGGGGAATCCCCCAACAAAACCCCAGGACCCCTGGGTCCGTGGCCGCAGATGCCCCCTGGACGCCCCTGAAGGAGGCCCCCTGGCCTTTCCGGAGCAACGCATCCAAGATGAGATGGCTTCCAAGACGGACCTGGGAGGCCACCGCGGCCGCCAAGATGGCCCAAGATGCCTCCAAGACAGCCGAAGAGGCCCCCAAACAGCCCCGAGAGCGCTCGAAGAGGACCCCCACGAGGGCCCCAAGAGGCGGATATCAATGATTTTCATTGGTTGTGTGTGTGTGTTTCAATGTTTTTCGCGTTCTTCCCTTTTCAAGCCTCCGACGCTCCAAAGCGGCCCCAAGGGGCCCCCAAGACACCCCCAAAACGGCCCAAGAGGCGCCCAGATCAGCCTAAGAGAGCGCCAAAACGACCCCAAGAGAGGCGTAAGAGGGGGAACGCGAATCGAAAATTGTAGCTTTTCGCTGGAAGAGGCCCCGGGGAGACCCCAAGAGGCCTCCAAGGAGCCCCAAAAGGCCCCCAAGAGGCCTCCAAGAGGTCGCCAGACGGCCCCCAAGAGGCCTCGAAACTGCCTCCAACAAGCCCCCGAGAAGGCTCTCACGATACCCCAACGATAATTATCATCAAGATCATCATCCAGATCAGCATCAAGATCATCATCAGCATCACGATCATCATCACCATCATTAAACATACCACCCTTATCACCATCACCCTTACCATCATCATCATCATCATCATCATCATCATCATCATCATCATCATCATCATCATCATCAGCAGCAGCAGCAGCAGCAGCAGCAGTAACATCATCATCATCATCATCACCACCATAATCATCATCATCGTCGCCATCATCACCATCATCATCATCATCATCATCATCATCATCATCATATCATCATCATATCATCATCATCATCGCCATCGCCATCACCATCACCATCACCATCACCATCATCATCATCATCATCATCATCGTCATCGTCATCATCACCACCAGCACCAGCACCAGCACCGGCACCATCACCATCACCATCATCATCATCAGCAGCATTATCATCATCATCGTAAAAATCATCAGCAACATCCGCATCATCACCATCATCATCATCACCATCGTCACCATCATCATCATCATCATCATCACCATCATCATCATCATCATCATCAGCATCAGCATCATCATCATCATCGTTGGAACGCGGTCGAATACCAATCGGAGCGATTGGCGTGATTACGCTTGAACTCCTTTACGTTGGCTGAACAGAAACCACATGTATTGGCGAATCATTGGCCGAACACAAATCACACCAACACATCCGAACAGGCGATTAGAGGCGCGAGGAGCCGAACACATGCCGAACACGGTGATCAATCGGACGCTGCTCAGGGCGCCACACAGGTGAGACCCCCAAGCCCAACAGCGTCCTCCAGGGCTGGGCCCCGACCCTCGGAGCTGCGAAAACACCACCACAATCTTTTGGAGCCCCGCTTTGATGGAGTGGCTGCGAACAACGCCCAAATAACCTATCAGAGAAAACTTGTTGGGAGACCTGCTACAAACACACCAACATAACAAACGTTTAGCCGACTGTTTTCGCTATATCCAAGCCCGGCAACATCCTCCAGGACTGGGGCCGGACCCGGGAAGCGCCGCAATGAACTTTTCGCTTTCGGCCTTGGGGGTCGCCATGAAATATCATGGCGGCCCCCAAGCCCGAAAACGTCCTCCAATGCTGGGCAACGATCCCCGGGGCTGCGACAAAAACACCCAAATAAACTGTTTGGGTCCCAGAATGTTGTTGGTGGACCCCAGGCCCGAAAACGTCCTCCAGGGGTGGGCCCCGACCCCTGGGGCTTCGAAAAGCACCAACATAATCTTTTCGGGGCCCGACAAGTCATTGGAGGCCCCCAGGCCAAGCAGTGTCCTCCAGGGCTGGGCCACCAGGCTCGAAAACGGAGGGCTGGGCCACGACCCCCCAGGGCTGCGAAAAACCCCCCACATCAACTCTTCGGGCCCCGAACATTTTTCCTGGAAAGGGCGTAGGCTCAGGGTTCTCTTTTAATTTTTACCCCTTGTTTCGATTTGAAGGCCGGCGGAATTATTTTGCGATAAATGACGAGTTTGAAGGAGGACGGCGGAATTGTTTTTGAGGATGTCTCAAGCGAAACGCTAGTGTTTCAGAAATTGTTGAGGATGTCTCGAGCGAAACGCTTGTTTTGTGTTATATCTTGTCCTCTCCTGGGGACTAGAATTCAGAGGATCTCTAAAGTGAAATGCTTGTTTTCACGTGCCCATGTCTTGAGGATGTCTCGAGCGAGACGCTTGGTTTCACGCCTCCAGGTTGCCCAGGAAGAGGTCTAGCGCCAAGAGTTGTTGAGGATGTCTCGAGCGAGACGCTTGGTTTCACGCGTCCTCGTCGCCCAGGCGGATGACTAGCATGAGGATGTGTTGAGGAAATCTCGATCGAGATGCTTGTTTGCACGTGTCCAGGTTGCCCAGGCGGATGCCTAGCATGAGTATGCGTTGAGAATGTCTCGAGAGATACGCTTGTTTTCACGCGCCCAGGTCTCCCAAGCGATGTCTAACATGTATATGTGTTGAGGATGTCTCGGATGAGACGTTTGCTTTCACGTGTACAAGTCGCCCAGGCGGATGTCTAGAATGAGCTCGAGCGAAACGCTTGCTTTCACGTGCCCACGTCACCCAGGCGGACGTCTCACATGAATATGTGTTGAAGATGTCTCGAACGAACCACTTGTTTTCACGTGTCCAGGTCGCCCAGGCGGATGTCTAGCATGAGAATGTGTTGAAGATGTATTGAGCGAAACGCTTATTTTCACGTGTCCAGGTCGCTCAGGCGGATGTCTAGCATGAGGATTTTGACAGGATGTCTCAAGCGAAACGCTTGTCCCCAGCACGTTCCGTAGCGCGTCCCCTTGGCACGTCCCGCGGTGCGACCCCATGGCACGTCCCCTGGCACGTCGCCTGGCGCGTCCCTTGGGACGTTCCGCGGCGCGTCCTTCTGGCATGTCCCTCTGTGAATTAGCTCTTGGGCAGCTACTATGTGTTCAAGCAGCTCGAGCTTAAGATCCAGATCAATTCGGTCAGGACTCGGATGCCAAAGCGGACTCGATACACAACGCTATAGAGCACAATCGCGGCATGCCACATCGCAATTCAGCACGGCGCAGCACAGCACAGACTTCGGCACGGTACATCAAGATCGATGCTTTCAACATTGCAACCTGGCACGTTCCTTGGCACGATCCGTGGGGCGTCCCTTGGCGAGTCCCCGTGGCACGTCGCGTGGCACGTCCCCTGGCACATCCCGTGGCACATCCACTGGCACGTTCCGTAGCGCGCCCCCCTTGGCACGTCCCGCGGTGCGACCCCATGGCACGTCCCCTGGCACGTCGCCTGGCGCGTCCCTTGGGACGTTCCGCGGCGCGTCCTCCTGGCATGTCCCTCTGTGAATTAGCTCTGAGGCAGCTACTGTGTGTTCAGGCAGCTCGAGCTTAAGATCCAGATCAGTTCGGTCAAGACTCGGATGCGAAGGAGGACTCGATCCACGGCGCTATAGAGCACAATCGCGGCATGGCACATCGCACGCAATTCAGCACGGCGCAACACAACACAGCTCTGGGCACGGTACACCAAGATCGATACACTCAGCATTGCAACTTGGCACGTTCCCTCGCACGTTCCGTGGAGCGTCCCGTGGCGAGCCCTCCTGGCACGTCGCGCGACGCGTCCCCTGGCACGTCCCGTGGCACGTCTATCGACACGTTCCGTAGCGCGTCCCCTTGGCACGTCCCGCGGTGCGACCCCATGGCACGTCCCCTGGCACGTCGCCTGGCGCGTCCCTTGGGACGTTCCGCGGCGCGTCCTCCTGGCATGTCCCCCTGTCGATTTGCTCTTGGGCAGCGACTATGTGCTCAGGCAGCTTGAGCTTAAGATCCAGATCAGTTCAGTCAGGACTCGGATGCAAAGGCGGACTCGATCCACGACGCTATAGAGCACAATCGCGGCATGGCACATCGCAGTTCAGCACGGCGCAGCACAGCACAACTCTCGGCACGGTACATCAAGATCGAGACACTCAGCATTGCAACCTGGCCCGTCGCCAAATCTGATGCCTTTGAACGCGTTGCCATGCCTACATTTCTACACTCCTTTCCGGGTTCGTGGGTCGATCATGTTTGGTTGAGTTCCTTCCCCAGGCCCGAAAACGTTCTCTAGGGCTGTGCCACGACCTCTGGACCTGCGAAAAGCACCGACACACATTTTTCGCTGGCCGACACAATTTGTTGGAAGGCC